TTACATGTTCTTTGTTCATGCTCTTTATCATTTTTCTGAGTTGGAAAGTTAGATTGCATCATAGTTTACTTTATACATATTTGTATTCTTCAGTGGTGAAGTATATTGCAAAGCAGCTCAGCCATGTGAGAAGACTTTTGGCACTTTTTCGTTTTTCGTTTTCTGAGTTGGAAAGTTAGATTGCATTCAAATGTACAGAAATACTTAATTTTGTTAAAGCTTTTTATAAAAAATGCTTCTGACCAGAGCTTTGTTTCCTTGTCATTAATGTTGAACACCACCAGAGGGGCTCTCACCTGAAAGGTCTCTGCTTCATGTGTCTTCAGCAGAAGATCTAGACTTTGATTGCTATATTTTCAGTTAATATTGACCTTACTGAGCTTTAGCCATATCCGCTGCCTATCATAAAAAATGTTAAGTACAGTGAACCTTTCTAAAATATACAGTAGTAAAGAGACAAACCCACCAGCATTATAGTAGCCAAATTCTTGTTTGTGGGCTGTATATATAAAATTGACTTGAAAAAGTTGCTGATTTTAGAGTACTGGCACCTTTTTCATTCCAATTCAAGCACTGGAGAAGATGATCACTATGTGACAGAAGTTTTCAAAACCGTTTATGGTTTCCGGTACTTCCAGTCCAACGCCGATTGCTTGCACAGCGTTAGAAAATCGGGCCTTCAAAATAAAAGTTTGACTTTTTCCCCCACTTTAAAAAAATGTTTTTCTTCACTCACACATCCGCGACCCACTCGCCAAAAAAAAAAAGAGCACCGGGTCATTTGAAAAAAGGCACATTTGCGTACCAAAATTGAGAGAGAGAGAGAAGGAGAAGAGAAAAGAGAGGAGAGGAGAGAAAAGAGAGGAGAGAGAGAAAAGAGAGGAGAGAGGAGAGAGAGAGAGAAAGATATTTGCGAGTTGCATATGAACTCAGGGTCGGCCAGTAGCACTGGCGTTATAGGTGTTCGCCTAGGGCGCCAGATCTGGGGGGGGAAAAAACATTTTTTGACCGTTGGCGCTCATCCTAATTTTCGGCCTTGATGTAACAATAGGGATGTAACGATACCAAAAACTCACTGTACGATAATATCGCGATAACAAGTCCACGGTACGGTATTTATCGCGATATTGAATAATAAAGAAAAAAAAATTCAATTTTTTATTTTTGAATTAAAAACATTTTTACTCGGAAAATGTTTCTTTATTACAAAATAAATCTGATTTGTACAGCATTTTAGTAGGATAGCAGTATTTTAAAGTGTAAACAAAGTGACAGTAACAGACTGGAACAAGAAAACCAGTGTTTTTGTACCTACTGTACTAGTACTACCAAACAAAGTAGGCATTTTCTTTGTGCCACTGCATCTCACAAATAAACAAGGACATTTAATAATCAGACCCTGCAATAAAATAAATCAAGTTTCACTTTAGTTTTTCAAGTAACTCAACTCAAACTCACTAGTCACTCACTCAGCATCATCAGACAGGTTTTTAGGAATATGAGAATATCCACATTTCCAGGTATTTATAAGCTGGGATGTTTGGGCATTTACAATATCCCCTGCTCTGGAAAAAACTCTCTCGCTTGGTACTGATGTTGCTGGGACAGCAGTGGTCGCGTTAACCGAATATTTTATTTATCAATGACGGAAAAATCTGAAAGCAGTCTGTCATTTTGACAGATTAGAACAAACTTGGAACAGCGCCAACGTTTCCCCGCAGCGAGGCTCTGGTGTTATGCCGTGTTATGCATGCCCTCCAAAAGGAAATGATATAGTTTCCAAACCGTACTTTGCCGTACAGATCAACACATGTCTGGGAGGTTTTGCTTTACGCTGTGCGCGCTCCCGCGAGGTGCATGCACACACGGCATAACACCGCCCCCCCCGTTGACAGTTCACGAGCGTGCTCTCTTGTGAACTGTTCAGACCCGACGGGTAATAAGGGATTATGACGGATATTTTACGATCCTGTCTGTCAAATGACGGACAGCGAAAAAGTCTAACGCCACCTCAGTGGGACGGAGAGATATGCTTTGGCCATGGGTGACAGCAGTGGGTCAAACTGTGCATTGTCTCTCCACCACTTCAAAAACAATACAGTGTTTGCCAAGAAGGTGAGGCTTATTGACAGGGCGAGATATAAATATACTGTTGGTACTTGTGTAAATGTAGCCCTGTAAATACGATGTCCTTTTGTGTTCTGTTGTTTTATGTTCATGTTGTAACCTACTTGCTGCCATGTTGGACAGGTCTCCCTTGAAAAAGAGATCGATGGTCTCAATGGGACCACCTGGTTCAATAAAGGTTTAAAACAAAAAAAAGTGTTTTACATCCCTATGTAACAATATTCATAATTAAGTAAATGTAACACCCTTTTCACCCCGGTTACACGTTTCATTTGCCCTGTACGATGGGCGCTGTAAGTGATGAAAATGGGGGATGTTGGCTTATCTGGCGCCCGCAGCTCACAGCCAAAATGCGAGTGAGCGAGGGAGAGAGAGAAGGGCGCACCGCCCGCTGTTGTTATTAGAATCTGGTGCTAGCTGCTCTAACGGATATAAGAAGAAGATGTGTCTACAATAATGTGGAGGGAGAGTCCTCTCCAGTCAGACTGAGAGGCTGATACTACAGCTCAGTGAGGTAAGGACTCTGAGTGTTTAGATAGTTCACTTTAGTCTAAGTTCAAACAGTTTGGTCACAATTTATGTAAACACATATTTCCAAGGCACTCCTTTATAATTATTGGGATAAACAGGTTTTAAATCATTCCAATGTATACTATAGGACAGTAACCTAAAATATCCTTTAAAACTGGAGAGATAAAAAGAAAATGCATAAATAAATAAATGTTAAGGTAAAATAAGATATGAATGAACAACACAAATAAAATAAGTTACATTAATTTGTTATTGGCTATGGTAGGTTATTGGTTATGTTCACATACTTATTTGATTACATCCACTTGTCTAATATGACAACAGAGACTTTCGACCCAAACCCAGCTGTTGACTTGTGGATGCAAGCAGCTAATCGCAGACTCAACCAGAGAGAAAGAAGTAGGCCAACATCATCACCTACCATGTCTGACAGAGAGGAAGACAGTGAGGAGAACAGTCAGGAGGGTAGTGATGACAGCTTGTAGGATTACTGGTCGTGCTAATGTTGTCTTGTGTTCACCTCTGCATGTGTGTTCTGTGTTCACCTCTGCATGTGTGTTCTGTGTTCACCTCTGCATGTGTGTTCTGTGTTCACCTCTGCACGTGTGTTCTGTGTTCACCTCTGCATGTGTGTTCTGTGTTCACCTCTGCATGTGTGTTCTGTGTTCACCACTGCATGTGTGTTCAGTGTTCACCTCTGCATGTGTGTTCTGTGTTCACCTCTGCATGTGTGTTCTGTGTTCACCTCTGCATGTGTGTTCTGTGTTCACCACTGCATGTGTGTTCTGTGTTCACCACTGCATGTGTGTTCAGTGTTCACCTCTGCACGTGTGTTCTGTGTTCACCTCTGCATGTGTGTTCTGTGTTCACCTCTGCATGTGTGTTCTGTGTTCACCTCTGCATGTGTGTTCTGTGTTCACCTCTGCATGTGTGTTCTGTGTTCACCTCTGCACGTGTGTTCTGTGTTCACCTCTGCATGTGTGTTCTGTGTTCACCTCTGCATGTGTGTTCTGTGTTCACCTCTGCATGTGTGTTCTGTGTTCACCTCTGCATGTGTGTTCTGTGTTCACCACTGCATGTGTGTTCTGTGTTCACCTCTGCATGTGTGTTCTGTGTTCACCTCTGCACGTGTGTTCTGTGTTCACCTCTGCATGTGTGTTCTGTGTTCACCACTGCATGTGTGTTCTGTGTTCACCTCTGCATGTGTGTTCAGTGTTCACCTCTGCATGTGTGTTCTGTGTTCACCTCTGCATGTGTGTTCTGTGTTCACCTCTGCATGTGTGTTCAGTGTTCACCTCTGCATGTGTGTTCTGTGTTCACCACTGCGTGTGTGTTCTGTGTTCACCTCTGCATGTGTGTTCTGTGTTCACCTCATGTGTGTCCTGTGTTCACCACTGCATGTGTGTCCTGTGTTCACCTCTGCATGTGTGTTCTGTGTTCACCTCTGCATGTGTGTTCTGTGTTCACCTCATGTGTGTCCTGTGTTCACCACTGCATGTGTGTTCTGTGTTCACCTCTGCATGTGTGTTCTGTGTTCACCTCATGTGTGTCCTGTGTTCACCACTGCATGTGTGTTCTGTGTTCACCACTGCATGTGTGTTCTGTGTTCACCTCTGCATGTGTGTTCTGTGTTCACCTCATGTGTGTCCTGTGTTCACCACTGCATGTGTGTTCTGTGTTCACCTCTGCATGTGTGTTCTGTGTTCACCTCATGTGTGTCCTGTGTTCACCACTGCATGTGTGTTCTGTGTTCACCACTGCATGTGTGTTCTGTGTTCACCTCTGCATGTGTGTTCTGTGTTCACCTCATGTGTGTCCTGTGTTCACCTCTGCATGTGTGTTCTGTGTTCACCTCATGTGTGTCCTGTGTTCACCACTGTATGTGTGTTCTGTGTTCACCACTGCATGTGTGTTCTGTGTTCACCTCTACATGTGTGTTCTGTGTTCACCTCATGTGTGTCCTGTGTTCACCTCTGCATGTGTGTTCAGTGCCGTGTTTCTGGCAAATAAAGACCCCCTCAAAAGTTACGGTTTATTTCATTTTAAGGATGAGCACCAAGCAACTACTCCAGGTGCTCCTTTGAGAACCAGGGCAAAAAAGTTATGTGCACCCCTGGTGATAATATACTTTCTTCAAGTTTAAAACACTTACTTAAAAAAAGCCTTGACATTCAGCGTCTTTATTTTCCTGTCCTCAGTGTGTTTTCAGCTGTTAATCCCCCACTCTCTCCTCCTCTTCCTCCTCCAGGTTACCATGGTGATGCTGTGGGTACTGCTTGTTTTCTGGGTTACTCTGTCTCTCCTCTAACGGTCTCCTCCTCTTCCTCTCTCTTCCTCTGCAGGCCCTACTTTGAGATGAAGGCCAAGTGCTACCTGCAGCTGGAGGTACGTGACGCTGTGTTTTAGTTTTAGATCCCTTTCTCCTCCTTCACCTCCTCTGAAGGTCACAATGAGTACGATGTTCTCTCCGCAGATGTTTATGAAGCTGTGAAGCTCGACCAGGGGTTAAATATCTTCAGCTAAACACTCAGAAAACAGCTGACTCTCCCGAGAAGCCGTGCTGTGGCTACGTTTAATTTGACATTTGATATCCTTTTCATTTATAGGCTCTCTCATTTTGAGGTCAAAGTCAACTTTATCGTCAATCTTTCAGTTTGTGTGTACAGACAAAGAGATCGAAATACCGTTTCCCACAATCTCGAGGAATTCAAAATACGAATATAAAAACATGTATACACCTATATATATATATATACACAATCAACTGACACATGTGTACATATGCACATTCAATATATTCAAAATAAGTCACTTCAATATCTTTGAAATAGTATCAATAACTAAAGCGTTGGGGACAGGGTTTTTGTCATTAAATGCTGTGAGAGCTCCCCCCACTGCATGTATGCTAAAAAAGGTTCTATGTGGACACATGGCCTCAAAGACTCACCATTCAAATGTAAACAAAAATATATTTACATTTAGTTTAAGTCAGATTTAAAGGTGGGGGAGGTAAGTTTGAGAAACCGGCTCGAGATACACTTGTTGTTATATTCCATGGAATGCTCTTAACATCCCGATAGCAATGAATATCTTAAATGCTTTGACAAAAAATCCATTAATAAATGTCATCTCTGGAAGCTGTGGCGCTGTAAAAAGCACGACCAATCATCTGAGCCGGCTAAAGTAACTGGATGGCCTACCTGCCTGTCAGCCTTCCATCTGTGCACAAACTTATCTCGTGCCCTCATTGGTCATGTGCGCGTTCGTGTGTGTTGGAGGAGGGGCTCTGTAAGGAAGTGGCAGATTTTCTCCGGTTGTGTATTTTCTAATTTTAGCGCACTCGAGCTGGTTTCTCCAAAATGACCTACCCCACCTTTAAGTGCAGCAAATTCAGTTTTCTAAATGTAAATTATTCGGCATGAGTTTCAATCTAATATATTATATTCCATTCCTCACATACTGATGTATAATATCCTGCTTTATATTTTGTTACTGTACATTTGTAATTCAACATCTAATTAATTCTACTTTTTTAATGCTATTTTATTTCTATTGAGATTTGTATTGATGTCGTAGCAACTTCAAATCAGCTGCTGTCTAGAGAACACAATATAATATATATAATAATGCTTGCAAGCATGATGACTCCTTCCGAGTGCTCTGTGTGTGCCAGACTGTTTTATAGGAAGACAACAAAGAACACAACAACATGTGGGCCCAGGTGTTCGATCATAATAAGCAAAACTCACACCCTACAAAGAACAGTTGGGTGTTGCAGCTACCCCCCTCGAGCACATTTCCTTCCTCATCGTCTTTTCTGTTGTGTCATAAAACCCTTCTTATCACACATCCATTTCTGTGCCATTCCCAGGATACCACTTTGTTCAAAGTTACATGTCATTAGGATTACACTGTATTAAGCTTTAATACCATAATGTCCGTAACATTGTACAATGCCTTGTCTTTTCACGCTGCTGCAACGCAAACATTTCCCAAATTGGGATCGTTTAAGTACTTCTTATCTTATCTTAGCATTGTTCTCTCCTCAATGTAAATGATTGGGCATGAGTCTCACGTCCACTTCCATACAAACGCACTGAATCTAAGGTTTACATGTTGATCCTGTCGCTGCAGAACGAGAGTATCTGCTCTGCGTTAGCGTTGTTCTCATGACCTCCATCCCTCCCCCAGAACCTGAAGAGGATCGTAGACGAGCGGCAGGCCAGGCTCTCTCGGGCTAAAGGCGAGTACAAGATGGCGCTCAGGAACCTGGAGAAGATCTCCGACGAGATCCACGAGCGGAGGAGAAGCTCCTCCATGGGGCCGAGGGGCCGCGGCGTGGGGTCCGAGGGCCACAGCGTCTCCGGGGACGACGGCTCCAACTTCAAGATGGAGTCGGACAGGATCTCCAGTGAGTGCAGAGAACATCCGTTACTCCTCCCTCTCTCTTTACCCTCGTAGCTCCTCACTCACTCACTTCCCTGGAGAATTCACTTCACAGCAGACAAAGTATTTTAAAAGTGAAAACATGATGGAGGACACGCTAGTAGTCTACTTTCCAGCTCTGTGAACTCAGAAATCGTGAGGAATCCAACGTTTTCTGATAGAAATGTAAAATACGGACCCCGAGCAAATACAAACGGCCGGATGCTAACTCGCATATGTTGAGCAATTTGCACAATTAGAGCAAGTTCTGTTAATTGGCATTTTGCAGACAATAGTTAACAAACTGAACATTTCTGAGTGGTTTTGGGGGTTATTGAGGATGCTGAATCCATTTCTGATATATTCAGGATCAAAAATAGCAGTTTTAACCTAAATCTTCAAAATGGACCCTAAATTAATTGAAATCAGGCCAGAGAGTACACGTATGGCCACCTTCTGGGTAAAACGGCCTTTTTTGATCCTGGAAATGGACTCAGCATCCCCAATAACCCCCAAATTGTCAAAAAATGCCAAGCTGTTTTCTAGCTATTGTCAACACACAGTAAGCTATAATGCCCAACATATGCAAGTTAGCATCCGGCAGCTTCTATGTGTGCTGGGGACCCTGCTGTACATTTCTATCATTAAACTTTGGGGTACTCAACATTTCCAGGTTCACTACAGGACTCTGCAAACAGACCATAATACTAAGATAAGCACTCGTAGAGCTGCTGATCCTCCTTGAAAAGCCCTTCTGACACGGAGCCGGTCTCTGAAGGAGCCGTGCTGACTTTAGTCAAAAAAACAAAACACACACAGCTCTCATCTGTTCGCTTAAATTCCTGCTTCGCGATTCTTGGAAGAAAGTGTTAAAAGATTTCAGAGAAAGATAAATGACGGCATTACCGGCCGAGCTAAGATAATTGAGTTTCAATTGATTCACTTTAAATATGCTTTGAAGAGAGGAGTCACACACACACACACACACACACACACACACACACACACACACACACACACACACACACACACACACACACACACACACACACACACACACACACACACACACACACACACACACACACACACACAGGGCTGTCATTAACAGTTCACACTAACCTCCCAGGCTGCACATGCACACACACACACACACACACCATGTATACATCACTTTAGGGGACATTACATTGACGTACATGCATTTCCTAGAGACTTTTCCTAACCTTAACCATAACCAACACATGCCTAACCCTTACCCTAATCCTAACCAAGTCTTCACCCTAAAATGAATGACTCCCCTCATGGGGACTCGTCTCCCTTATGTCCCCATAAGGGAGACGAGTCCCCACACTTGACTGCGTAAACAGATGTAGGTCCCCACATGTATAGTAATGCTAGGACACACACACATACATACACACACACACACACACACATACTATACACACACACATACTATACACACACACAAATACATACACACAAATACACACATACATATTTATAGACTAGATTGAAAGCACACATGAAGCTTGTGGCCTATATCTCTAATTGTAACCATCACTACGGCACGCTCAAACAGATAAATATAAAGATGAGAATTCACACAGTATCACTGAAGATCAGATGTTTCAAGAACCTTTACCATACATTCAATTAAAGATACATATTTGGATTTAATGTCAGGATTGAGTGCAGCATTAAAGATCCAAGCTTATTAAATCCTGGGTCTCTGATTTGAGATATTCGGAGTCGAGGTAGATGTCATGACGGTTTGATTCATAGAGCTTTGAATATTGATACGCCCTAAAGCAGATCTGTAATCTAAGGTCTGAATATGTAAGACGAAAACAATCAAACAAAAACATTGTTGTATTTACATGTCGTTTACTAATTGCTGCATTTACTTGCAC